GTGGTACGCGGGCCTCTCGCTGCTGTGGCCTCTCCCGTTGCGGAGCACAGGCTCCGGACGCACAGGCTCAGCGGCCATGGCTCACAGGCCCAGCCGCTCCGCGGCATGTGGGATCTTCCCGGACCAGGGCACGAACCCGTGTCCCCTGCATCGGCAGGCGGACTCTCAACCACTGCGCCACCAGGGAAGCCCTAAACCATTTCTAAATGGTAGAAGTTTTGGGACCCTCAATTATTTGCTTCAGCTTTGCATATACCTTTACCTACTTTGGTTTGCTTTATTTATTAAGTCCCCAATGCTTCATATCCCTTTTCTGTCACATGGACGTCTAGAAGTAATTCCTTTTGCAAAAACATCCCTACAAATTGTTAAGAACTTTGGAAGTCTTTAGTAGAATAATTTACATATTTGGAGTATTTTAACCTAAGAAGGGAAGTGAGACCAACGAAAAGGGAAGTGAGCAACCTCAATCATTGCCTGCCTGCCTAGTTACATCAGAGTTTTTACTTTCTCTTTTCTTTTAAAAAAATCATAATTTCATTTGCTTGTACTAAAATTTTAATTATCTTTATACTTGGTTATGCGTGATTTATCAGCCTTTAAAAGGTACATGAACTTAACTGGTGTTTTAATTTAAGACAGTTTGAGGGCACATGCTCCTTTTTTTTTTTTTTCCTCAGACAAAACCATAGTAAATCTGTGACTTATAAATTGTTTAAATCCTTTCCTTTGGTGATTAAAGTACTTTTGATTATGTTAATGCCAGAGTAATGGGTTTTAGAAGCACAAGCGACAGCCACAGCAACTATTTCTTGTGTAAATGAGGATTTGAGGCCCAGAGAGGGCCAGTGACTTGCTACAGAACTCAGACAACCAGGCCCAGCCTCTTCTGTGCCAAGTTCAGGGCCCTCCCTTTTCTGCCCTAGCTGCTGTAAAGACTTCTCGTTGTGAGGTGATTACATTGACTTATTCACTAGACATGATTTGCTCATTGCTGAATTACAGTAATCAGTTTTTTATACATGGAGTTATGTTTCATATGCAGGATAGGAGTTTGATATTTCACTTGGAGATAGGAACCTCTTATCTGCAGGTTCAATCTTTTCATTGCCTTAATTTCATATAGCCTGTGACAGGTCTTCTAAAATTCAGTATTGATTAGTGTTCTCTGTGCTGCTGAAATCAACAGGCACAGGGAAGGCATATATCTCATTAAGACAAATCCCCTTGTACACAGGGAAATTCTTTTTTCTGACTTGCCAGTCTCTCAGAGAGAGGTACCCAGGGGCACAGCTTGAAGGTGGGTCCCGCCTTTCTCTCCATCTTAGCCTTATGGGATTTCCTACTCCTGGCCTTTCACAGGCTGTTCCACCAACAGCTGTGACATTCCTTCCCACCGCACTCCCATCTCTTGGCTTGGGCAGCTGCTATTTATCTTAAAAGTTTTAGCTTAGATGCTGCCTTTCCCAGGAAGTTTTCTCTGACCCCTGAAGCTGGTTGGTTATTCGCCCCTGTAAGGTTCCTTAGCACTGGATTCTTACCCCTGTAGTGGCTTGTATTTGTATTATTATTGGGAGTTTATTTGCCTTTTATCCTTCACTACATTGAGGTCCTTAAGGGTTTGCATGTTTGTATATGTATGTATTTAACAGTCAGTTAGTAAATACTGGTTGAATGTGTGACTGAAAAAGTAGGTGAAGAAATGGAGGGTCGAATTATTGAGCCCAGTGTCAGCATCAGGGACACTTTGACTTGCTAATGTGAGGGGAACCTGCCAGTCACAAGGCAGACTGGAGGCAAGACCCACTCTTCTTCTCTCCATGACCCTGCAGCACATAGCATTGTTGTCTGTGTTCCTGGCTCGTCACACAATAATTTTATGTTGGAAAAGAATTACAGTTAAAAAAAAAATTCCCCCAAACCATTTGGCAGCAAGCAAGTAAACAACAGATCAAGAATTAAACTTTTGGGGCTTCCCTGATGGCGCAGTGGTTGAGAGTCCGCCTGCCGATGCAGGGGATACGGGTTCGTGCCCCGGTCCAGGAAGATCCCACATGCCACGGAGCAGCTGAGCCCGTGAGCCATGGCCGCTGAGCCTGCGCTTCTGGAGCCTGTGCTCCGCAACGGGAGAGGCCACAGCAGTGAGAGGCCCGCATAGCAAAAAAAAAAAAAAATTAAACTTGTATAGTGTCTGCTTTGCCTCTTTAATACTTGAACCTAATGAAATTTTTATTCAAATAGAGGAGCTTATCTCATTCGGGGAGCAATATTCATGCAGCTTTAATTTCCTTACTTATTTTGGGATATGAGTGAAAGATTTTTCACCTTCCAAAAGAGGGATTTCACAGAGTTTCCTTCACTTTATAAAGACATCTGTTTTAGCTCCATTTTTTTTTTTTTTTTTTTTTTTTTTTT